CAAGCCTGGTTTCTCTAAGATTCCAGTTCTCCCTTTTGATTTTATATTGGAGTGGCCAGATTGCTTTTGACTTCAGGAGTTCCCTCAGAGGCCCAAGTCAGGTGAGGATCAGATGCTCTCAGGCTTTCTCCTAAGGTCTGCATCCCTCCAGGATAGACTTTGGCTTCAGGAATTTGGGGGTTGGACTGGACTAGGAGCCCGGCCCAGGAAAGATGCTGGTCTAGGGCAGCTGGTGGCTGTGCCACCCAGAGATGCAAAGGAAGATGGGGCCAAGAAGCGGCCCCAAGGGCTCCTGGGGACTGCATTGAGGATCTGGGTTGGTCTGGATACAATGGACCAGGAAGAGGAACGGTCAGCCCAGGCATCCAGGAAAAAGGCTGGTGGGTTGTGCAGACCCAGGGAGGCAGAGGGAAATGAGGGTGGGGCCAGGCCCAGAGAGCCCCTGGGGACCCGAGAAGGAATTGAGTTGGTCTGGATGCACAGGATCTGGAAGAAGCAGTGGTGGTTCTACAGGTATCTGGGGCACCAAGACAAGGAATGGGACAGGGCCCAGGCTAGGAGGAGAGACCGGTGGGGGAGATGGGAGGCTGAGTGAGGCTGAGGGAATCAAGGCACAGAGGGCAAGATCGACTTACCCTGGAGAGAGAGGCCTGTGGGGCCTGCAGAGCTGATTTTCCTTCTTAAAAAGTGCCTGGGGCAGGGGTTAGGGAAACAGCTCAGTCAGCAAAGTGTCTATTGCACAAGTATGTGGACCTCTGATACCCAGAATCCGTGCAAAATGCCAGCATCAAGGCCAGCCTGGTCTACATAGTGAGTTCCAGGCCAGCTGGGGCTAAGGGACACCTTGTTTCAAAAAGACCAAAAAAAAAAAAAAAAAAAAAAAAAATCTAATTGTATCTCTACAGTCAAGACAATGATTAAAATACAAATCTGAAAGTCTCAAAGTTGAGCTGAGTATGTAGTTCAATGGTAAAGCATTTGCCTGGCACACTTGAGGCCCTAGGTTTGACACCCAGTGCTTTAAAGCAAAATAAGACAAAATAAAAGCAAAAAACCAAAGTTATCACTAAGTTATTTCTTTCTCATCAGGTCTGTCTGAGACAGTTCAGGTAGTCCCCGGCATAACTCTCCTGTGACTGGATTATTCATAATGTGCCACAGCAGCTTGGCTTTTACTCTAATTTTAAGTCTCTTGAGATAGCAAGTGACAGAAATTTCCCCAGTCTGTCAGTAGTGTGTATTGGCTCAGTAATTGAAAATCTTTGGAATGGTTTGACTTAGTCCCGATTGAATCTAGGAGCTTAAACAAATACCGACAGGGCGTGGCTTTTTCCATCCTTCACTCATCTGCACTTTCTGTTGATCTCATTCTCATGATGCTTTCTAGGTGCTGCCCAGAAAATCCAGACTTATGTTCCACCAACCTAGCAACCTCAGTGGCAAACTTCTGTTCATTTGTAACCGTGGAGACTGGTTTCAGGATGACAAAAAATGTGGATACTCAAGTATCTTATATAAAAGGAATAGTGTTTACAGATAACCTATGCACATCCTCCTCTATATTTTATCTTTTAAAAGATTTGTTTTCAGCTGGTGTGGTGGCACTTGCCTTTAACACCAGCACTCAGGAGGCAGAGGCAGGCAGATCTCTGTGAGTTCGAGGTCAGTCTAGTCTACATAGCGAGTTCTAGGCCAGCTGGGGCTACAGGGAGATCCTGTCTCAAAAAGACCAAAGGAGGGGCTGGAGAGATGGCTTAGCAATTGAGAGCACTGACTGCTCTTGCAGAGGACCTGGGTTCGATTCCCAGCACCCACATGGCAGCTGTGAACTGTCCTTAACTCCAGTTCCAGGGGAATCCAAAGCCCTCTTCTGACCTCTGCAGCATTGCATAATGTGGGTGCACTCACATACATGCAGGCAATATACTTGTACACATAAAATAAAAATAATAAATAAAATTAAATTAAAAAAAAAGACCGAAGGGGGAAAAAAAAGATTTACTTTTAGGCCAGGCATGGTGGTGGACGCCTTTAATCTCAGCACTTGGGAGACAGAGGCAGGTGGATCTCTATGAGATCTAGGTGAGCTTGGTCTACATAATGAGTTACAGGCCAGCTGGGGCTACAGGGAGATCCTGTTTCAAAAAGACCAAAAAAATAAAGATATATTTTTAATTATGTGTATATGTGGAGGTAGGTGGTGGTGGGGTATGTGCTTGTGTGTGCAGGTGCCCATGGAAGCCAGAAGGGGGTATTAGTTCCCCTGGATCTGGGGTTACAGATAGTTGTGAGTTGCCTGATGTGGGTACTGGGAACTGAACTCAGGTCCTGTGCAAGAGTAGTATGTGCTCTTAGCCACTGAGCCATCTCTCCAGTCTCATATCATCATGTGTACTTTACGTCATCATAGATTATAGTACTGAACACCATGTAAATGCTGTGCAAATAGTTGTTTTATTGTGTTAAGGGAATCACAAGGAAACAAGTCTGCACATGTTCAGCGCAGGTCCAGTTATTTTCCTGAGTATTTTCTATCCATGGTTGTTTGAATCTGTGAATGTGAAATCCACAGGTGTGAAGGGCCTACTGTACTTAACCCTCTGCTACCACCAAAGTCTTAAGATCACTTTATGCTAGTCCAGTTCAGGTAACATTTGCATCTTTAAAACAATGCTAGTGACTGGCAGATCTGGGTTGGATCCAGTGATGGGTTTGCTCCACTAGACTGACTGCAGGGTAGAGATGTGGTTTGCCAAAGGTACACCATGGTATGGTTTCTAGAAAAAGAGGATTGGATGCTGAGCAGGCAAAAGCAATATGGCCCGCACATTCCAGAATGTGAGTTGGTAGGAAACAGAAAAAAAAAATCAGGAAGACACTCTGAATTTTTATTGTTTGATGGTCCAAAGGGAAGAAAGTCATTGATGCAAACCAAAATGTATGCATATATATGTGGTGTTTACTACGTGATGCCACATTATGTCTTTGCCTTGATAAAAGCAGCTTGACTCTTAGCATCCATTTTAAGGCCAAGAATGGAGCCATACTGCTAAGGACACATTCCTTCAGTATTCTCTCAGAACTGTGCTCTCCAACAAGGCCTAGCTCTTTGTTTTATTGAAAATTATATCCAGCATGAAATGGGGTAGTAAAAGTTGGACCCTTATCATAGAACATTGCTCTTTCTGAGCCCTAGACATAGATCAACACACACACACACACACACACACACATACAACCATAAAGAGATGTTAGCAACTGAATCCTATCTACTGTATACAATACAAATTGGTTAATCTTCTATCTTCACTGCTTCCAGTGAATAAGGTTTTGATATTCGCCATAAGCACACATTCATACACACTTTATTCTAGGTCTAGAGCAAGGAAGGGTCACAAGGGATTAAGGTCATACGCCTAGATCACAAGAGGAGCACATGGCTCAGTGAGCTTGTCTATATTATAATCAAGCTTAAGATGAAATTTTTGGTTGTAAGGTTAAGTTAAAATCATCTTTCCAGAGCATGTCTATATTATAGAAGTCATTCCCATATATATATATATATATCTTTATTCCCATATATATATATATATATCTACATATGCGCACATATTTTATGAAAGAAGAATCAGATAAGAGCAAGCAGGGTATTGTAAATCCTAGTTATACAGACACAGAATCAAACAAGGAAACTACTATCATTATGCTCTAAGCCTTTCAATGGAGGAAGGATTAGCCCACCTGCTGATGCTCATTTTGCTCTCCGTTAGAAGACACAGCTTCTGAACTTTATCAGATGTTAATCTATATTTATTTATTTTTTTTTAAAAAAAGGGCCTTACTATATAGCCCAGGCCAGCCTTGAACTTGCACTCCTTCTCCTTGGCCTCCAGAGTGCTGGAGTTACAGGCATGAACCATACTGGTTTCCATGTGAGATGCTGAACAGACCAGGTAGTAATATTCAGGTTTGTTTATGATGGTTATACACAATTAAGCTGGGACTGATGGGTCTCTCATATGCATATGTTTCCCTCCCATCTCATTGCATTAGGCCTGACCTTTTGGGACCCTCTCTCTCTTTTTTTTTTTTGGTCTTTTTGAAACAGGGTTTCCCTGTAGCCCCAGCTGGCTTAGAACTCACTATGTAGACCAGACTGGCCTTGAACTCAGAGATCCACCTGTCTCTGCCTCCCAAGTACTGGGATTACAGGCGTGTGCCACCACACCCGGCTGGGGATCCTCTCTTAATAGCCGCAGTCTGTGTCAGGTTGGTGGGACAAACCGTTGCCACTTCTAACTTTGCTTTTTCTGCATTAGAAAGCAGCTGCCCCTGAACACACTGATTTACTGAGTGCAATTTGTTTGTACTTTGAAAGCTTAGAAATGTGCTCTTTGGACTACATATTTGGCCCAAAAGACTTACTAGGTAGATTTTTTTTTCTTTTCTTCCCTGCTCCTCCTCCTCCTCTTCCTCCTCTCTTTCCTCCCTCCTCCTCTACTACATGCCCCCCTTCTCCAGTCCTACAGTCCAGTGCTGAAAGACCACATCCACTGTATACAGACTTATTTTTTTATGATGAGTCATAACACAGGTCTATCTTCACAGGCTTATAGAGAAATCTAAAACAGGGCACCAAATTGACGAATCCATTGTATTTTCCATTGACTGATGGAATCCCTCTCATATTTTCTTTTTGGACAGGGCTTCGTGTATCCCAGGCTGTCCTCAAGTTCTCTATGCAGCTAAAGCTAATCTTAAACCCCTGGTCCTTCTGCCTCCACCTCTCTGGAGTTGGGATTAGAGGCATATGGCTGTATTGAGGGTATGAGGTGCTGGGGATCTGAGCCAGACCTTCTTGCACAGTAGGCAAATTCTCTCCCAACTGAGCTGGATCTGCAGCCCTTCAATTCACCTTCTGTTTTTTCTTGAGGATGGCCCATCAGTTCTGCCCTTCCCTAGAGAGGGAAGTTGCTGTTTAGAGATGCCCCAGCTTCCTTCCTTGCTGAGTGGCTTCTATCAGGAGACATTTTCTTCCACACTGACCCACAGTTGCTTTCTCTAGCACTCATGCATACTTTACAGTATCAATTCAAGTACTGAAGTATCTTTTTGGTGCCTCTTTCAGTAGTAGATCAAGGTTTGTACTTCAAAAGATTCCTTTGGTGTTCCTGTATGGGTTCAAGGCTCATCATCTTGATTTCAGATCAGCAACAGGACAGACTTCTGGAATGTGCATATGGTTTCAGTATAAACAGTTCCCAAACTCATATATCAACTTGACAAAGTCTAGACTCAAAAATTTGTTTCAAGGAGGAGGAAGACTAGGAAAAGAATAGGAAGAAGAGGAGGAGGGAGATGAGGAGGAGGAGGGAGGAGGGGGAGAGGGAGGTGGAGGAAGGAAAAATAAGGAAGAGGAAGAAGAGGAGAAGGAGGAGGAAGAGGGAGAAGGAAAAAGAAGGAAAGGAAGAAGGGGAGGAGGAGGGGGAGGAGGAAGAGGAGGAGGAGGAGGAGGAAGAAATGGAGGCAGTCTTGGTTGAATTAATTGCAAACCTGTAAATTGAGCCAAGGTGTGTTTCTGCAACTAGGTTAGAGTTGAAGTAATGTAGGAAGCTAAACAGCAAATCACTGTTGTAGCTGCTGCTTCAGAAGGGTCAGGTGAAAGGACAGGTTCCTCTGGTCTTGGTTGTGCACCGGGCAGATGGCCAGCACCTCAGGACATTGTTTCCAGGGTGTGCCTGCTCATTACCACTTCTGTCCTGAGAAACTAAAGTTCAAAGAGACAGTGACAGCCCCAGGTCAGACAGAGCCCTCCTTTCAGGGGCCAGGAACACCTGTGGCTACTCTGACCTAATGCAGGTGACAATTTAAAGCTGATCCAAATGACCCTGTGGACTCAAGCCACTACCCCAAAGCCATTTCTCAGTTCAAGAGAAAACAAACTCCCATGTGAATTTCATGAATTTTTATCATATTCTTAGAGATGTCTGTGACATGCCCCTGCCTCCCAGAATTTTCTCCAACTTCTGAAGTTAGCTTAACCATCAGTCATGTTTTCCAGAGAACCAGGGACATAATTTGCTCATTAATTTTTGGCTTATGCTAAGGGTTATGTAAAGTCAGCAAAGAAAGACAGAGGGACCAAAGAAACATATTTAAATGATACATCAAAAATGAACCCAAGAAGCAGTAGGAGGAAATTATGAGGTTTATAAACAAAATCAATGCTTTATAAAATTTTATAGCCCCGTGTTAAGTAAATGCAATTTTAAGGCAAACTGCTTTCAGTGGTATGTTTATTGTTATGAATACAAAACTTTATATCAACTGGGTATTTTAAGAACTCTAGGCTGGACCTGGTAGTCCATGCCTGTAATCCTAACTACTAGGGAGGCTGAGACATGAGGATTGCAACTTCAGGGCCTGCTTGGGCTACAGAATGAGTTCAAAGACAGTCTGTCCAACTTAGTAAGACCCTGTCACAAAATAAAAGAGTTAAAAATAGGGCTTGGGTGGGGTGGGGGGTGGCTGTAGGTCAGTGGTAGAGTGCTTGCCTAGAATGTGTGAAGCCTTGTGTTCAATTACCAGGACTACAAAACCAAAACCAAAACTCCTTGGATGCTGCAACTATTTAGGTCTTAGCTCTTATATAATGAGCAGGGAAAAAAAATGGACAGGTGGTACAGTCTGGGGCCTAGGGGATCCAGATAAATACCATAGTCTAGACTGCTGCCACTTCTCACCTGGACCTTTTCTTTCCCTATTGACCTGCCTCCTCCTCGTTCTCTAGTCCATCCTCCCCAGGGTGATGAGTGCAATCTTTGCTGAAAATGCTTCTGGAGCGACATCTTCCTCTGTTAAAGGACCTTCTTTTGACCTCTCAGTATTCATTTAAGCCTCTCATTCATGAAACCATTGTATCAGTGACCTCTCTACAGAAATCCATTTTAAAGGAGGATCCTGCAGGTGGAGGTTGTAGTTTCCCATTCCTAGAGAAGTAGCCACATCGTGCATTATGTTCTTCCCACGGGGTTGAGGGTCTGTGTTTCTTCCCTTTGAAGATGGGCAGAGGCTTGGGATCAGCCTGATCAGTGAGTATGATGGGAACAATGCTTGTGGCTTCCACGCTCAGTCATAATAAGGACACAGTTTCTGTATGTTCTAACTCAGAATGCTTGCTCTTGGTACCCAGTTACCATATTACAAGGAAGCCTAGGGCATATGGAGAAGCCATGTGTGGCCATCTAACCCATAGCCCCAGTTAGACCTTCAATTGAGCCTGTATCCATTATTAGATGCACACGTAAACATTTCAGATGACCCCACCTCCTACTGTGGTGGTGTCCAATACCAAATTACAACTATGCCTGAGTAAAAACAGCCTGACTTTTAGCATCCATTTAAAGTATTTTATTTATTATTTTTATTTTATGTCTATACTGTATTGCCTGCATGTGTGTAAGTGCACCTGTGTTGTGCAATCCCTGCAGAGGTCAGAGGAGAGCATCGGATCCCCTGGAACTGGAATTACTGATGGTTGTTATTGTCACATAGGTGCTGGGAGTTGAACCCAGGTCCTCTTCAAGAGCAGCCACTGCTTTTAACCACTGAGCCCTCTCTCCAGCCCCTTAGCATCCATTTTAGCTAAGGGGACCTGAACTGCTCTGAGAACCTATTCCTTCAGATTTCTCCCAGAACTGCTCTTGAGCAAAGGCCTTTCCCTCTATTTATTGAAACTGTATACACAGCATGAAATGGAAAATAAAAGTAGACTCTTGTCTTATAAGACAAGGATTTTGACCTTTCTGACATAGAACAGCACATACACCCACAAACAGATGTTATCAATGCCATCCTACCTGTTGTTTGCTGCACAAATGGGATAATTTCCATTGCTTCCAATAAATATCCACTCTTTCAGCTCTTGTTTGATATACAACACACACACACACACACACACACACACACACACACACACGTTATTCTGGGTCATGGGCAAGGAAGGGTCATGAGGAATTAAAGCTGTATGCTTAGGTTGTAAGAGGAGCCCAAGGCCCAATAAGCTTGTTTTGTATCATAAGCAAGCTGAGGTAGTGTTAAATGATCTCAAAACATAAGATAAACTCTTTGGTTACAAGGTTAAGTAAAAGTCATTCATTTGGAAGTCATTTTCATTGTTCCTCTTTCTTTGTTTTGTAAAAGAAGAAGCAGGTCCATAGTGTCAAAGTCATTCCTACACCCAGCCCTTCCAGCTTTCCAGCTGGTCTGGAGCAGATGTAAAACTCTTCCCTCTGGGCCTTTTGAAAGTTCTGGCCCACAGGAGCTACAAGAAATAGTAAGTGATGTATGGTGTAGTCAGTGCAGTAATGTACCTGTGAAGGTTCCATAAAAGGCTGTGCTGATGCTGCTCCTCCTTATTTTATTTTTGTTTTTCTTCTTTATTATGAATCCTCTTTCTCTTTTGAGAAAGGCCTTCATTCTGTGTGGTAGTTGATCCTCACTGTCAACTTGAGAGGATGGAGGTGGGGTCCAGGGCTTAGAATCCTCTTTCTCTTTTGAGAAAGGCCTTCATTCTGTGTGGTAGTTGATCCTCACTGTCAACTTGAGAGGATGGAGGTGGGGTCCAGGGCTTAGAATCCTTTTTCTCTTTTGAGAAAGGCCTTCATTCTGTGTGGTAGTTGATCCTCACTGTCAACTTGAGAGGACTGAGGTGGGGTCCAGGGCTCAGTTAATAAAAAGAAGAAAGTG